TTTGGCACAGTGAGGTGCACCTGTCACTCCCACCTGTACTATCACAGTCCCTGCTAGGAAGATGTCTCCCTCAGCACAACCAGAAGGTCCTGTCCACGTAGAACTTTGCAGTAGCATGTGGTAACTCTGACCTATGAAAGAAAAACAAGGCATCTTCTGCAGAAGCCAGTGGGTGCCACCCCATGGCAGCTCCCACTGATAGGGGAAGGCTTCCTGATGAAGAAAGCTGCAGCACTGTGGAGGCGCCAAGGGCGGCGTTGGTTTACTCGCACACACAGGTCCTGGCCAGAGCATCCTTCAGTCCAGCCTTCACCCATGGGAGACCTGGTTCACCCCTGCCCCTGCACTACTTTGTCATTCTCACCCGTTGTAAAGCAGGAGAAGCAGTTCATTAGACCCCCAACTCCAGCACCATTTCTTTCGGGGCCATGACCCAGGCGGGATAGTCCCAGGCCCACACAGATGCCAGTGGTCCAGAATGGGGCCCAGGTGCTGCCCCGACCCACCAAACTGGGGCCGACACCACTGCCTCCTGAGTTCCTATGAGAGTGACAGCCTCATTGTCAGCGTCTGCTGCAGAAACCAATCTTTTAAGTTTGAGAATGCTTGCTTATAGCTCTCCACAGAACAGCTCTCCTTTCTTTGATTTGCTTTTATTAGCTTTGTTTTAAAGAATCAATACCTTCTGCTGTAAAAGAGTACTTGTTTTCAGCATTAACATACAGGCTTAAAATGGTCGCAGGCACAGGTTCTTGCTAGTGTAACAGACATGGATTGGGGCAGCTAGGCAGTCACTTGGGGACCCCAGCTAACTCCAAGTCTGTCATCTCTATCCTGCTTCCAAGTTCACCCTGGGACCGCCTCTGTTTTCTTCCTGCATGGTCAGATTACTACCGTGGAACCTTTCCTCTCACAGTTCTGAAAGCTGAAGTCTGCCTCCAGTGTGTCTCCACTCCACATGGCCTTCTCCCTTTCTCATGCTTCAGGGCACACAGCTGAAGCCATACCAGGTTTGGGACCCATCCTGTTCATCAAAGGTAATCTTACTAGCAGACCCCTAACCGAATTACACCACAGAGCCCATTTCCCAGTGGAGTCCTACACTAAGGTCCCAGGGCTTGAATGTGATGTGTCTTGGAAGCCGCCATTAAGCCAACCCACTCTTCAGTATAACTCACCGGGGAGGGAGAAGAGATGGAACAACCCACAAAGTGACTGTAGCCTAGCTTGGGTGACATGTGGCTTTCCTACCCTGTACACAGCTCAATCGTGGGGGTTGCGAACAAGTTTAGCTATGAGTCACGGAAAAAGGGGAGAGAGTGGATTTGGAAAGTGGCTGTATATACATTCAGGTCTCCCACCTGCTCTAGGGGGTTGTCTGAGGATTAGGTACGGAGCTGAGTGCACCATTGTACCCCTCTGAAGCCTGCCACGGAGCTCCAGTACCAGGCTGTATGTGTGAAGTGTCCCTAGCCAGTCCATATCTCCCACCAAAATCTCAGTCTCAAAGTGGCTTTTGTTGCTGAGTAGTCATCCTGTCAACTCCAGAAGACTTAGAATTTAGTTTCTGTTTCTTGGAGAAACAGACCTCTAGAGGTAATACTTTTGTGTTAAGTTTTAACACAAACACAAACCCGCAAAGTTTTGGTATTCTGTGACCTCATATTGTTCCTATTGTAGCAGCATCCCACTTACAAGGGCACACCATGTGGCCAAAGAAGAACCTGTGGCAACACAATGCTCCAGCAGCCTCCCCTGGAATTGAGGAGTCATTTGTCGGCTGCCTTTCCAAATAAAAACAGATGTGCTGAGCACATGCTTGTAATCCCAGCACCCTGTGAGGCTGAGGCAAAAGGAACACAAGTTCAAGCCCAGTCTTGCTAAGCCTTAGCAACTTAGCAAGACCTTGTCTCAAAATAAAAATAGATCTGGGAATGTAGCTTAGTGTTAAGGCCCTGGGTTCAATCCCTCATAACACACACACATTCCACATGTTCAGCTCCCTAGTAACAACAATTGTCTGGAGTCATTAGGGTAACTATAGAGTCATAGTTCTCATCCCAGGACCACACCGTAGTAGTGACTCCCAGGACCCACTAGGGCAGTGATTCTCAGGCTCACTGTTGGGCCATAGTGCTGGCACTCATGAAAGGAGTGTGCTGGGGACTTGGAAAGAGTAGCTCTGAAATCTGATGGTCAGCCTACTCTTAGACTGTACCCATGAGGTTTTAGGAATCAAATTTGGAGATGTGTCATCCACCAAAGCAAGTGGAGCTGCACTGGCTGTGGCCACAGCCTCTTCTGGAAACCTGTGCTTGGAGCACATTTTGTGTGCTGTTTAACATGGTGCAACCCAAACACTGATGTGTTCCTGGGCCTCCTGTCAAAATGTAGATTTTGGCTCTGGATGTCTGTGGGGCCTGAGCCTGCATTTCACCAAACAGAACTGCTGAGGTCCCAGGACCTCCCTGTAAGTAGTCGAGGTCTGTGCTCCAACTCTCAAAGAGTCTGGGCACCTGCAGCCATTTGGAGTACCTAGGTAGCAGGATCCACCCCACCCTGGCCTTTAGAGGGCCAGAATGAGGTAAGCTCTACAGACCTGGGGACAGTGGGTCATGGCGAAGAACAATAGACCCTGCAGTGGTGGCAGGACCCCAGCCCACACCAATAGTGGGGCTCTGGTCACCTCCATTTCGGTCATGCACATAGAGAAGGCAGCAAGATCCTTAGACCACAGCCAGTGTCACAAGCCAAGCCAGTGTCCAGACTGCACGCCCCACCACCAGCTGTAGGCAGTTGGGAAGATAGAACACTAGCAGTCCCGCTGAGGGAGAGACAGGCCTCAAGAAGAAGAATGGTGTATTGTGGTGCTGCTGATGGCAGGAAGGAGAGTGCCAGGCCCCAAAGGCCCACAGCAGAGACCCTCATCAGTTTTAAAAAGGCACAGTGCCACCTGAACCCCCTCTGACTTGTGTCCGCTGGTGCCAGCCCTGTGCATGCCTGGTCAGCATCTCCATTAGAAGGACGAGCAGAAACCCAGATCCAGGAAAAACTTTGTAGTGGCCTTCCAGGGACCCCAAGGGTGACTGGGGGAGCCACAGGTGCATGGGGAGGCCCTGCAGGAAGTCATCACAAGCTCAGTGGCTTAAGACAACTCAGATCTAAGCCTTCCAGGGCTGAGGTTCAAGGGACTCCCTGAATGTGGACAGAGGGCTGGAGCCCCCCCCCCATGACTTTTTTGGCTGCCTGGGCTATTTCTGATCCTTGGCCTATGTCCCCATCTAGCATTTGCCTTCTCTCTTGTTGTCACTTATATCTAGCTTTCCCCTCCCTGAAGCCGTGGGGTTACAGGGTAGGGCTTTTCAGAGGTGGCTGGATCTAATGTGTGTGATGCTGGCATTAAGTGTGTGATGCTGGGATCAAGGGTGTGTGATTACTAAATTAGTCTGGTTGGTTTGTCATAGTCTTTGGGAGTGGATAATGGAAAGGCCTTTCCTGGGTGTAAGTGCTACTTCCCTGGACAAAAAGAGCTGCTATGGTTGCTGGTTGCTTGCTGCTTGCCACTTTGCTGTTTTGCTGCCTTCTGCCCACCATGAACTGTTTCTCCTCTGTGATGCCACTTTGCCTTGGAGCCAGCCAGTCATGGACTGAAACATCTATAAACTATGAGCTAAATAAGCCTTTCCTCCTTTAACTTTGCGTGTTGAGTATTTTTTCTCATCAATAAGAATAGTAACATCTCCTATCTGCCATTATACCATCAGCCATTGTCTTCAGCTCTCACCCTGCATTCCTCTTGTGCTGGACACTTGTGATTAAAGCCACCCATAAATCAATGTTCATCCCCACTTCTAGAGCCATAGTGCCACCTGCAAATCCCTTTTCCACATAAGGGACCAGGCACAGGTTGTAGGGGTCAGGACCTCAATAGTGGCCCCAGCATGGCAGTGCACACTCCCATTTTGCCATACTTACACAGGACAGGACTTCCCAACAGGGATTGTGACCTCTTTTAATTGTGGTTAATTTATTCATTTTATTCATCTCAGCATTTTCTCTTTTACACATCAGGGCAGTGAGGCCCAGAGAGGCTGAGGAACTGGCCCCTGATCATATAACAGTACATAGGGTGGATCCACCTTTGAGCCAGGACCTACCCAACCACCATGTTCATAGGTCAGCCTAGACCACACCCACTGGACAGAGAGGACAAACTGTCCTAGTTTCATCAGAGCCAGGGAGGAATGTCCAAGGACAGGGGAGGCCCTTGGGAGACGCTGAAATTCTGAGATGGCACAGCTTTCTGGCCACAGTCAAAAGTGTGCCATGTCTGTCTTCAGAGCTGCTGTGGGCCACATGCTGGCCCTGGGCAATTCCAAGGGAGGTGCTGCTTGTCATGCAAGTGCAGGGTGCATGAGCAGGCAGAGCCCACACTCCAGCTGAAGCCAGGGAGGCTACCCACATGTGACCAGGGATCCCCATGAGAGCCTCTGCTTGGCTCCGTCCAGCAGCCAGCATGCTTCACTGCTCACCCGCTCCAGCATGTGTGCCCAGAGGAAGGCAAGTGAATGAGAGGAGGAAGCATAGCCCTGTCACTGTGGCCAGCCACAAGCCCTCCCTTTGGCCCACCCCAGAGTTAGAGGCTGTGGGCCTAATCCCATCTAGTGGAGCAGGCAGTCACCGGGGAAGGAAAGGCATTTGCAAATATGTGTCTGAAGATTCTAAATCTCTCCTCTACCCTGCATCATGGAACAGCTCTCAGACCTATGTCCTGGTTGGAGAGTGTCCTTGGTCCCATTTCTCTCCTGGGACTTGTGAAGACAGGTTCCACAGCCCTGGCCATCCTCAGAGAGTCATGACCGTCAGAGCAGAGGTGTCCAGGAAGCTATGTGAGGACAATCAGGTGCTGGTCCTGCCCTCCACAGAGCCCAAGCAAGGGCCTCGAGAGAGCTCTGTCAGCTGAACAGCACACCTCTCGGCTTCTAAGAATCCTCTTAGTTTCTTGTTGCAAGACATTTATTAACAACACAGAGATAATCACCTATTGTATTACATTCTAGCTAAATTCAGATGCTTGTGTCTTGTGTTTTTCAAAAATCACAGGAAAGAACAACTAAGATATTGTGGAAACCCCATGAAGATCAAGGTCACATCAATAAGCTAAATATAAACCCAAAGCAATAAAACACAATGTGTGTTTTAATTTTAAAACCCAATTTCTGTTCTCAATATAAAAGCAAACTCTCTCTGTTTTCACAAATGAATTGGTCAGTTCCCATTCTTTCCAGAACAGTAGGCCTGTGCTGAACACCAGCTTCTGGTTCCCACCCCCATCCTCCAAGCAACCTGGCCTGGGAGGCTGATTCTGCTGCTCTTTATCCATAGCACTGTGTTTACAGAGGAGACTGCTATCGCTCAGTGTCACTCTTGGAAGGAAAGGAAGAAGACCAGAGGCAGATGCTCTGCTGTCGGCCTTGTCCCACAGCCAGCAAGCACTGACCTCACACTGCACTCAAGGGGTTGTCCACACGGCCCAGGAAGTGCAGGGCATCTGCCTCCTTCTCATAGATAGCGAACAGGAAGGGGCTGTTCAGGGTCACCTCCAAGGCCTCAGGCATGCTTGGCTGGCGGGTGGACACCACAGGTTGCTTCCCATCATCTGCTTTGAGTTCAAAAAGGAGGCTGTTCCGCACCTGCAAGGCAGTGGACATTGGCTTCTCTCCCAAGGGCTGCAGGACCTCCCCCCAAGGAGGGCATGGGACAGCCATGCCCTGAACAAGGACCTGTCTAGCCTGCCAGGAAGACATCCTTCATGTGGACACTGACCACCCCATGCCAAATCACATGCACCTCTCCCTGCCACCCTGCTGGCTCTGGGAGTTTCAGCTCTCTCTGTTGTGGCTAACCTAGCACAGAGGGCCCATGCCCTGGAAGTGACGTGCTCCCTCCAGCACTTGCGCAGTGCCTGGAGTATGCAGGGCGTCCTTGGCACTGCAAGTGGGCCTCATTCCCAGTGGAGGTGAGACAGGGTCTTCAAGGAGCCAGAGGACAGGGCATTGGCCCAGGCACTCACTTTCCTCATTCTAGCCTAACTCTGCCACAGGACCCAGGAGACCCTGAGGGCAGGCAGGCAGTCAGGTCAGGTCTGAACCATAGCAGATAGCAGAACAGACCCGGTAGGAATTGCTTTTCCCTATCCCCACTGGCTCCAGCCCTGCTGGCCCTACCCATGCCTCTTCTCATTGGACTCATGAGCCAGGTCCCCACTGACCTCTCCCACTCTCAGGCTGGTGTCACTGATCCTGTCTAGGTTGACCTCGGTGCCCAGCAAGGCAGACAGCTTGGTCCCGGTCAGCACCTCCTGCAGGTCGTAGGATGCTCTCAGCTCCAACTGGGGAAAGGTCAGGTGCATGGCCCTGGGGATGACATGGTTAGGGGTCCTGGAAGTCCTTCCTACTGCAAAGATCCAGGGCCCACAGCCAGGGTTCCCTAAAAGGTTCCTGAAGAAGGGATGTCCAGCCCCTTATACAGCTAGGCATCCTCACTTTTGAGAAAAACCTCAGCACCAAACACAGTGGAACCTTCAGGTTGTTTGAAGTAGGATGAGGAGCCCCTGCAGGTGGAGACCTTGCTGACTGTGAGCAACTGGCTGCCCTCTGTCCCTGAGTATTCTCAGGCTGCCTGTACATCAGGAGGTTCTGAAAAGAGCTAAGGGCCACCATCTAAAGTCATGAGAAGTGGCTGTCTCCAGGGCACTTGGAATAGAGACGGGTTCAGGAAAGGGACCACGACAGCAGGCCGTGTGGCATGTTGTCACATTGTGTGTATGCACAAACTGTGGATGAATAAAACGTGTGTGCACAGTGGGTGTTGTGCAGCTGTGAAGAGGAGGGGAGCTCATGTGGGACAGCTCCAGGGAACTCTAAGGGGCTGCAGCACTGGGCAGGGAGCACAGAGTAGAGAGTCTGGGCATAATGAGGCTGAATTTCTCTCCTGCAAGATTTGAAAGCTCTGGAGATGGACGGTAGTGATGATGGCACTGTGACTATACTTAATTCCGCCCATCTGAACACTGTAAAAACTCAAGTTCACATCAGAATGCCACTCATGTCTTGGGAGCAGGCTACTGTCCCACCAGACTGGAACTGACATTGAGGTTGAGGCCAGCTGCTCTGTTGTCACACAGAGCCCTGCCCCATCACACAATCAACTCTGGTTCAAGGCCAGTTCCCTGAGGAAGCTCCCAGTCTCACAGGAGCCCACAGCCCCCTACAGCACATTCCAAGATGCTCTGGGTGCCTTGAACCTACTCCATGTGGGTGTGGGATCAGGGCAGGCCGGGTGTTTCTGTCTCAACTCATATGAGAAGCACACTTCCCCTCCTGTGCCAGTACTCGATGGTACGATGGAGACACCACAGGGGCCACCCAGCCCAGCCAGCCAGGTGGTACTACAGCCACCCCACCCTGGGTAAAGGGCCAGTGCAGCACCCCAGCTTTCCAGAGGAGCAGAGGTTCCTACCGGGAAGACAGGTTTTTATTCATCTTCACCAGGAAGTCATGGTGGAAGGCTAGGCACATGATCTGGTCCAGGTTGGAGGCACCGTGGGGCTGGATCAGCAGCAGGGTGGCACTCTTGCCCATGGGCACATGAATAGCTGAGAAGTTGCTCTGTGGGTTGCTCCAGTGCTGGAAGGTGCCAGAGCCTGACATCATAGGGACAGACACCGCAGTGCTGTTGTCCACCCAGAACTTCTGAGGCCCAGCCAGCAGGGAGAAGCCCTTCATCCTCCCTGAAGCCAGACAGAGCCAGAAGGAGAGGTCAATGGTCAGCAGGCCAGGAAAGGGGCACAGGCCACTCCCACTTACTCCCATCTCCGCCCCTTCCCTGCCCACTGGGCCAGCTTCATCCTGGCCACAGGTTGTGCCCACCCAGACCCTGGTGCTGCTCAGGTCTTTGTCCTGTGTGATCCAGCCACTGAGATTGCCACAGAACTCGGCCACCGCCAAGGACCTGGCCAGGGCACCCCAGATCTGAGCTTATGATGTTGCTTCAAGATTGAACCACCACCACCTGACCAGCTAGACCCAAACCCAGATCTTCCCTGGTCCCAAGCTTCTAGTTCGCCACCCTCATTATTCTACAAATAGATATTCTTGAATTGCCATGTTAGGTTCACAAAATTGAATAGAAAGTACAGAGAATTTCCGTATAACTCCTGTCTGCCACAGTCAACACCTCACAGTCTGTTTACTATAACTGTATGTGTCTGTGCATGTGCATGTGTGTGCATGCTGGGGGTGCAGCTCAGGCCCTCACACTCACTGCTGAGCCACTCCATCAGCCTCCATTTGTTACACCTGAGGCTACGTGGTCATTCACTATCACCCAAAGCTCCCCGTTCACACAGGGCTCACTCATGGTATTGGGCACTCTGCAGAGCTGGATAATATACAGTGATGTGTGTCCACCACTGTGGTGCATAGTCATCTCACTGCTCTAAGGACATCTGTCTACGTCCAGCTATGACAGAGCCTGTAGTGGTCCTTGGTCCCAGGGACCCACCCCCCTCCCAAAGTCGTGGGTCAGATTGGCACCCAAGATTTAGAATGAAGGCCTCACTTCTCAGGGTCCCTGGCCATGACTGACAGAATGAAGAGATATACAACCCTGCTGTGAGCCCAGATCTCAGCATGGACCTTGTGCAGAGCAGCCCTCTCTGTCCTGTCTTCACGCACAGACTGAGGATGAGGCAGAGAGCCAGAGGCTGCACTTCAGGCTGAGCTGCCCTGCCCACCCACGTGGAGGACAACTGTTAGCCGGGTCTCTGCATGACCCCCGATACCTCCCTGACTTTACTCCTGCGCATTTACTCATGGTGCAGACACCACTGTGGGGCGTTGTGAGAAGAGGGGTTGACAAGAGCCCATCACAGTGGCCAGTGACTGGCTGCAGAGGGGACTCAGAGGGCCAGGTTCCTGCTCTCCTGAGTCAGGGTCCTCAAGCTGAAGGCGGGGTCACGGGGAGTGGGTGTGGGTATGGCAAGTATGGGCTGGATAAGCCCCTACCAGGACCCAGGTCTTGTGAGGGTGAAGGGGCCCATTCCTCCATCCTAAGAGCCCTAGAGAGATGAGCCATTCTCAAAGTCCATGTGAACAAGAAGCTGAGTGTCCCTCACCCAGTCCCCAAGGGACTTCAGCAGAGGCTTTTTACTTTAAAAGGGAAAGGGCTGGACTTTCTCCCCCAGCAACTAAAGCAGAAACAGAAATGCTGGACTCTGCCATGGGGGTGGTGCCCTCTCGTCACTGACTAACCCTGACTTGCCAGTCCCATGCTGAGGTTAAGTCAATCCCTCTGGTTCAACCCAACTGGCACCCGGGAGCCTGCCAATCCTGGGGGAACTGAGTACTGGCAAAGGGCACCTGTGACCTTAGCCTAACACCTTGAGTCTCACGTATCCAACCACCTGCTGAGGGGACCCAGAGCTCCTAAGACAGTCTATTCATCCACAGAAGGATTAACTAGCACAGGAGGATCTCCATCTGGAGGGAGCTGAGACCAGCAAGGTCAGCACAGAATGTGGGGGTGGGGGCCCAGTGCTCTGAATCTGACTTCTTCCTCCTTTCTCCACCTCTGCAGTCCGTACTGAGGATGGCTTTCTTCCCAGGCAAGATTCCCCTCCTGACACCAGTGGCTTGCTTGCCTTCACCGAGGAGAACCACCTTCTCATGGAGCCTTTGGATGGCAAGCTCATCCCCAGTTCCCCTCTGCTCCACACAGGGAGGGCCTCCCTCTGCCCCCATGATGGTACCTGCCCATCCCCCAGCCTCTCCTTTCCTGGCACTCAAAGTCAGATACAAGATCTTTGCAGAGACTCAAGGATATGGCCATGGTGGGAAATCATCAGGCACAACCCACCTTGCTGGATCCCTGCTGCTCTGTCTACAGTGGCCTGGGTGGCACTCCGCCCACCCCTCAGCTGTACATCTTCCTGTCGAACCTTGTCAACACTCCCCTCCTCAGCCAGCCACCCATCAATGCACAGATCAGGTGCACGACCCTGTGACCGTGTGCCTGGGCTGTCACACACATGGCCTTTGGGCGTCCTCCCTGCCTACATGCAGCCCCTGCTGTGGGCTGTGGGGGTGGGTGTGAGCAGGACTCCTCTCTTCAGCCCCCACCAGGCCAAAGCTCCTTCCTTCCCGCAGCACATCAGGCTCATCCTGTGCTCTGGCCGAGCCAGCTCTCTGTCCTCTCTTACGCCCTGACCCCCATAGCCTCTGCGCCAATGATTCCTCTTTCCTTCTTCCCCAGGCCCTTTGAGCCTCCCCTTTGTTCTGCGTGGCTTTGCTTTATTGTCTGAGCTCTTTCATATGCAGCTTACTCCAGGCATCTGCCCTTGGGTCACTCCTTTGTCTGTGTTTAACTCCTGACCTGGTTTACGCCTGCTCACCCTTCCTCTTGCCCATCTGAGACAGCCAGCTCAGTCTGACCTGTATTCGTTGCCAAAATACGCAGTGTTTATAGTAGGGATATTCTAGTGAGACCCATCCCGTCGTGAAAGCAAGGTAAGCTAGGCAGGCAGCCACCACTGAGCACACTGTAGCTCACAGACTGGTTGTTTCTGCATGGGCCAGAGACCCTGGTCCTGGCATGGAGCTGGCTGTAGGCAGGGGATATGAGTTGATCCCAGGAACCTGCCTGGGGCTGTGTTCTCCTGAGTAAGATTATTGTTCCTCTGAGCCCCCACTGTGCCACCAGTAAAAAGAAGCATGGAATATCTTTCCCCTTCAGAGGGAGCAAAGTGATGAGAGCAGAGGCTTGCCCCAGGAGCCACACATACTAGGTAGTGCGTGGGTGGGCACCACCTAAGGACCTGGCAGGCAGTCCCTCCCACCTCCTCCGGGGAGGCCTCCAACTCCTTCCACTTGGCCGCCACTCCCAGCCCCACGATCTGCCCTGCTTGGGGAAGCCCACACTCGGCATGAAAGTCTCAGGGGCTAGGATCAGCACCCTTGGGCACTAGCCAGGGCCAAGTCGCCTGGGGGGCTGGCCTTACCTTGGAAGTGGACATAGGTGTTGAATAACAGGGTGCTGCCTGGGCGGACTCCTGCCAGGGGCCCACCTATCTTCCACCCTGTCACAGCCTTCAGGAATGTGTTGATCTTCTCAGCCGCATGATTTGGGTCAGTGGACAGGTCCAGAGAGCGCGGGAAGATGACAGGAGCAAAAGGAGCCAGGCCCAACATGAACGACCTCTTCAGATGCAGGCCCGGAACCGTGAACATGCCCACCACAGTGGACAGCAGCAGCCGGGCCTGGCCACTGGCCTCACCCTGGGCTACCAGGAGGCCCTGAATGGCTTTTAGGGCAGAGAGGACCTTGTGCCCATCCAGCCGGGAGGTGCAGCCCTGGTCCTGCATGGGAACCCCTAGTAATGCCTGCAGCTCACTGGCTGTGGTGTCCCAGGCACCCAAGTAGAGAGAGGCCAGTGTACCAAAGACAGCCGTCGGGGAGAGGGTGATCCCACTGGCTGTGCTCCCCACCTCACTCAGAGCCTTATACAGGCGTAAGCCCAGGAAGTTGGCCATCATTGCAACCTGGGTGGCCCGCTGCCTATCTTCAGTCGTGAGCTGCTCAGCGGCCAGCACCAGCTGCTCATATAGTGCAGCCTCATTCACAGGGGAGCTCTTGGCCTGCACTGGGACAGGTGTGAAAGTTGACTCTTTGGGCCTCTCTGCAATGGACTTCTCCATCAGTATACAGCTGCTCTTGGGGTAGAAGAGGAGGTGGAATGGGTGGATGTACACTCGATCGCCAGCGGCCAGGCCAGCCCAGGCCAGGAGGCAAAGGATGGTGGCCTTGAGGCCAGTGCCGGTGAGAATCATCTCTGTACTCTGAAAAACACTGTGTGAGGGGGAAAAAGTGGTTATCCAGTGACCTCCACCACAACTGTTGACTATCCCAGTATTCCCTGCAGCCAAGTAGATTTGGAGAAATCCATCCATGTCTATGGGTATTAAGCAGCAAAATGGACTTAGAGCTGCATGGAAAGTATATACATAGTCCAAGTGCCAAACACACCGTCACAGGCTGAGCTGTGCCCTGTGGATTCATACACTGGAGCACTCATCCCAGGACCTGAAACTGTATTTGGAGACTTGTCAAGTTACAGTGAAGTCCTTACCTGATCCAATCTAACTGGTGTGTCTTATAATAAGAGGAGCTCAGGACATACACAGAGACTATGTAGGGATACAGGGGAAGGATACCATCTGCAAGCCAAGGGACCAGCCCTATCCACACCTTGACCTTAGACATTTGCCTTCCAGGATGGGAAACAATACATTCCGTTATGGATGCCCCCGAGTTGTGGCACTCATTACCACAGCCTTGGCAGGCCAAGTCACACCCATGATGATGGCAGTCACTTCTCCCATAGAGGATCTGGTACATGCAACACATGCAGATCCTTGAGGAGGCCCCTCCCTACTCCATGATAATCTAATAGCCCTGGGGTGGGTCCCAGGAACAGGTTCTAGAGTACCCAGATCTTGACATGTAGCCAGGATTGAGCACTGTAGGCTCAACCCAGGACCAGGACTTTTCCTGTCATCTCAAGCTCCAGACCAGCTCTTGGCCTTACCCTAGCAGACCCTGGGGGATGGGGGCTCCAGGACTCTGCACACCCAACTCACTCAGTCACTCACAGTCAGCCTCAATGGCCTGTGCAGAGCCAGAAACAGACTTGTTAACTTCCCAGGTCACTGCCATGAACAGCTGGGTTTCAGTGTCCCCCACCTCATGAGCCCTATCTCCAGCCTTGGCTGTGATAGGCAGCACAAGGGAGCTATCATAGACCTGGTCCCCAGCGCTGGACAGGGCTTCCTTGGAGAGGTGGCATCTCGGCTCTGAGTCAAGGCCACCTTGACATCTGGCTTTCCTTGCTTTGCCTGTCTATGCCCAGTCAGCCATCTTACATTGTGCTGTGGCTTGGATGAATATCTCCCAGAGGCCCATAAGATAAAGGCCTTGTCCCCAGCAAGGTGCTTGTGGGAGGTGGTAGAACCATTAGGAGGAAGGGTCTTATTTTGTTAACCTCTAATTCCCATCCACACCTTCCCCAGAGAAGTAAGTAATGAGTCCACCAGAGCTCAGACTGGAAATTCTCAATCCACAAGGCAATATGAAACTTTCCTCTTTATAAATTAATTTATTGGAATTTCCTACAGAGATCTAAAGCTGGCTGACATTCAATGCCCTGCCTTCCACATTCAGTTCAGGAAACCTGCATCTGCTCTGTACATGGTGAATCCACAACATTTCAAAGTGTACTATTCTGCTCCAGCCACCCAACCACCAGGAGACCTTTGACTTCTGACCAGTCACCATCTCATCCACTTCTGACTCAGCCCACTGTTCTCACAGGAGGCCACAAGGCATAGAAAAGTGGGGCTCCTACAAGAGGACCTGCAGTGTCTGCTCGTGCTGATGTAATCCAAGTAAGGCGAGACCATTGTGGGGGAGTGGCAGCAAGGATGTGCTTACCAGTGCCCACGCCTGTGAGACACAGATGGACACAACCCTTCGCACTTTATGATGCCGCTGAGGGGTGTCATCACATGGATGAGGATACAGTCACTGCCATGGGGGAAAGTTTCAAGGCCACTGTCACAGGAGCACTGTCAGTGTCACAGTCCCCATTGTGAGACAGGTCATAGCACTCTTAGGCAGAGGCAGCTCTTTGCTCTCAGCTGAGGTCTTGTTTTTCATGGGTTCCCACAGGGTCCCGAGAACAAATGGGTTGACCCCCCCAGTAGCTCTTGTGTGTCCTGTGGATCCTCTCACCCTGCCCACCATTGATAGGCACTTCTCACACTGTTCTGTGTCAACATCCTATCCCTATTAGACCCTTAACCCCCTCAGTACACTCCATACCCCCACATGTATAGTACTTGCCACCTCCAAACCCTCTTCACTTAGCCATGTATTTATTCTGCACCTCAAATGTTTCCACCATGAGAAAGCAGACCCCACGAAAGTGGTCCTCTCCCTAGCTAGCAAGGCCCGCATCCCCAAGATATTCCCAGACATGACACATCCCGAATGGGAGTTGTCAGGTAGGTGAGGTCATTAATACTGTGTCGTGGAGGAGCAGAGAGGTCTGGTGACTTGCTCCAGGTCACACAGATGTAAGAGACAGAACTAAAGATCTGATGAGGAGCCTGGATTCTATAGGTGGTGTGTCAGCACCAACCTATGTTGCCTCTTGGCAAAGCAAACACCTGTCTTGTTGGTGTCTGGAAAGCCCTTCTAGTTCTGGAGCCTGGGGTAGTTGTGAGCCCACGTGACAGAGGAGCAAGTACTGATGCTGGGGACACAGTGAGAAGCCAGATCACCCTGACCTGGCATTGAGTCCAGGACCAGAGAGACCACCTAGAGCCACAGGTGACTGTATCTCCCTGGCGATCCCATACCCCACATCCCCCCAGCCCTGTAGCCCACACACAAAGCCTCACTCCTCCCTGGGACTGGAAAAGGCTCCATGGGCTCTTGGTCAGGGTGATGCTGGCCCTAAGCCAGTCTCTCTGCCCTTGAGGCCCCACTCTGTCAAGAAGCAGGAGGATCTGGCCACCCTGCCCTGTGCCTGGGGGACAGGAGGCCCTGGAGAGGACAGGCCTGCAAGGAAAGGCAGCTCAGTGACCATGTCCCCCTTGGTGGTGGCCCTCATCCACCCCTGGCCCCATGCTCCAAATGAATGCTTAATGCCATTTAGCCAGCCCCGCCTGCAGCTCCCCCAGCCTTTCCTCTCTGTCCTCAACTCCGCTGTAGCAGGGAGTCTGGGGAAGGAGCCCAGGGCTCCACTCACCTCTTGCTTTGTCCTGGACAGAGGAGGGCAACTCTTCCCTGGCTGGCTGCACAGGCCACATTTATACCCGAGGGGCGGGGATGGATCTGTTCCCAGCCACTCTGTTCACAGGCTGGGGGTGGGGGAAGGAGGGACCTGGGTAGGGGCCTGGCCGCCCGGCTTGGCCAGGATGGACTGTCAGGCTGGGCCCCTTCCAGGAAGGCCTGAGATCAATGCAGTTCTACTGCTGAGTAGATGAGTCGGTATGGGGTCCAGTTACATATTTACCCAAGCTTGTTGGAGGTGGGGCTGCTCTTACCGGACCTGGCCAGGTTGTGACAGCCTGTGGCCCACCATCCAGGCCTTCTCACCAAACCCCTTGTGACACACTTCTGAGAGGCCACAGAACATGCAGGAAAGGGGGCTGGGGCAGGGGGCGGGTTGTGCTCAGGTGCCTTGGGGCTGCTGTGACCACACTGCTCAACCACAGGTTAGGGTTAGAGTTAATATATGAACTTGACTTCAAGTAGGTGCCATGAAGGTTAGAGTTGGCACCTACTCCACATAAGGGCCTCTTTGGAGACATGGGAGCAAGTAGCAAGCATCTTCTAGAAGCTTCCTGTGCAGCTAGAAACTGAGAATACCTGCGATGGAGCAGCAATCAGATCAGAAATCAGAAGACAGAAGCAGCCAGATTCTGGTTGTAAACAGAAACAGCCAGCCAGGCTGGGAGGTTCCAGGGAGCCACCCCTCAAGTTACAGAGGGTAGAGGCAGAGAGGGACGAAGGGCTTTTGGAGGAAGGCTCTTGGGACACCAACAAAGGAGTTGTGCTATGTGAGGAAGGTGGAAACGCACAAGCCCACATCCTGGCAAGGAGGGCAGATCTGGCAAAATGCAGCTACTTCGCTTGTCACCATGCTTGTCAGCAAGCTTGCACGCCCATGACATCTTTCTTTCCAAACCAGATGACCCCCAGCCTCCGACCACACATTCTAGGAATTGGTTGGACAGAGGAAAGCTGCCAGAGCTGCAGACACAGGTGGAGAAGGATGGGTATAGCCAGATAGCCAGAGCCCAAATACCATGCTCAGGAAGGGAAACCGATGTCATCAGGAGAGGGGTGGGTGAGATCAGAGCCAGGGACAGAGGGTGAGACATGATGCTGCAGTCTGGTGCAACAGCTTCTCTGAAATGACGGGTGACACCAGCTGGAGGAAAGAGGCCAAAGGCTGTGGCCGGTGCAGCTGTAGGCTCAGGGGACTGGGAATGATGGAGCCGGCCCACAGACAAGGGTTGCAGAGGCAGATCCAGGCTCTGGGGAAGGGTGAAGGTCTTGCTGTGGTAGGGTGAGCACTCAGTGAGGTGGAGAGGTGGCTGCGATGAGCAGAGAGAGATCTGGGCTGAGAAACACCAAGGAGACACTTACCTGGTTGATCCCATTCCCAGCACAAAGACCTGAAGCTCCTGCAGCTGCCTGAGTGTGAAGGTGGCAGGACATCTCTTCTCAGGGACATATTCTTAGTCCCCAGCTATTGACTCCGGAGCCTTCCAGACCCCTAGATTCTCCAAAGTACTGAGTGTCCTCTTGCTGGGGTTGACACTGTTGATCGTGCTTTTGGATCTGGGCCTCAAGAAGGGGCTTAAACAGAGGGTCTCAAGACATCCACACTGGCGGACACGCCCACGTATGGGTGAGGGGTACTCCCTGACTCCACGGAGACTTCAAAGGTCTCTGGTGGGACCTTTCTGCCTCTTCACCTACGCATATACCTTTTGTGACAAACCAGCAAATGAAGATGAGTGACTCTTTAAGTCATTATAGAAAATTCATATGAGAAGGCCTTGAGAGCCTCTGACATGTCACCAAGCTGAACAGCATTGTGGGTGACTGGGACCCATTGCCCTGCCTCCTCTTTGGGGGATCTGTGGACATAAGCCTACTACTGCATGACAGTCCTGTCTGATCACAGGTCTCCCATTCCTGACTAAACAGATCCCAGGGATGGGCCAGGGATTTACATCAGTGGTGCCACTGCCTGCCTTGCAAGCACAAGGTCTTGAGTTCAATGCCCAGTACAAAACAAAACAAAATAGATCCCGGGGACACTTTCAGCCCAAGCTGGAACAATCCACCAGGTGAAGGTGGGTCAAAGACAACAGATTGTTGAGGAAACCTATGGAAGGGCCATGCATGCTCCCCCAGCTCTTGCTGGTCCTGCCTGCGGTCCCTGAGGACCCTGGTTGGTCCTCAGTGAGCCACACTGCAGAGTCTCATAGGTCACAGCTGCTTTAGTGACTGATGAGACTATAGAGCTGTCTGCAGAGCTCATGCCCACACATGTGTCCTGGGAACCAGAGCAGGGCTGTACAGCCCCAGGGTAGGTGAGCACACAATAGGGATCCCTGGTGCTGGCCAGAAAATGAAACTACACGTCTTCCCTTCAAGGAAAGCTCTGTGTGTGTATATGTGTGCATGTGTCGTTTTTGTGGCAGGCCACATCTGAGACTTCCATGGGGGACACGCTGGCCTGGCTAGCTAGCCGGGCTGGGTGGCTTTCCAGATGCTCCCCAATCCTCTCTGCAAATGAGGAACTACACTGCCACACCTTCCTTTTTCCTCCAGCCCTTCCTCAGCTCAATATGTGCTACTGACAACTCCCTGCTCCTCTCAGGTCCCCCAGCTTGGCACATCTGGACCCTCCTGTCCATCCTCATCTGGGACACCTGGGCTCTCCAGAAACCCCTCAGTCAGGTCCTCCCTGCACACTGGCTGGTTCCTGTCCACTTTCAGGTCCTTAGACCAAAGGCCCTGTCTTCACTTCTGCCACCCACCCACTTCCAGGATGCAGGGTCCTTGCTTGGGCGTCATCGGTATCTGCAAATCTTGCCTCAGTAACTCACCCTTCTCTAGACTGCTTTATCCCTGAGAGTCCATGTCACAAATGACATGTCTTTCAGGGCATTTGAAGCAGCTGCTCAAGGAATCAGCACATGTGTAGATTTTTTACAAAGACGGGCCACAAAAAAGCCAGATTTCTCTTACCAGTGACATGTTGTCAGGAAGAAAATAAGGAAGAGATCATTGTAAAGCCAGACACTGTGGTGAATGTCAGCAAAAGCATTTTGCAAGATCCATCAAAGTCCTAGTCCTCTCCAAGGCAACCTTGAGTTCCAAGATCCAAGACCCAAGACCCAAGAGCGAGTCTTCTGGGTGAGGCTCTCAGGCTCATTAAACAAATCAAGAGCTTGCCAGAGCATTTTCTCTGGTCTGCAATTTATTCCCATAAATGTATATTCACATAGCCCCTAGACTTCTGGTGCAGCCCAGAGCTGGGGCAATTTTTCCCCCAACAATTTCAGACTGCTTTTTGTGTGTTCATTCCAACTATGGGAGTCAGGGATTCCCAACCATGGAAATCTGCAGCTAAAGGAAGCTGGGTGAATGAAAAGTAAACGCTCCATTCCAAACGTGGGTCAGCCACAGCTCACATTGGACCCGCTATGTGTTGGTGATGGAGCCCTGGGTGGCTCCCCACCCAGGCAAGTTCTGTGGTCTCAATGAGGTCAGGTCAAAGTCATAACACCCCCTTTCCTACCTCCTGTCCCCCCAGCCAGCAACAGGGTAAACACACAAAGTGAGCCAAAGCAGGAAAGTACGGTTCTTTATTTGGGGGGTGGTCTTTAACTATTTGCATGACGCAGTTAAACTTGGAACCAGCATGGGAGGTGAGGCCAGAGCAGGGTGTTAGCGCAAGAGTGGAGTTATCACTTCTGTCTCCAGGGAAAAACTGCTTCACAAGGGATTTTTTTTTTTGCCTGGACCAGAACTGTCATCCTCACATGACCCCGGTAGGGGCATGTAACACGGAACACATGGTTCATACGAGGTCAAGGGAAGGATGAGCAGGCTATCTGGATCTTGTGTGATGAGGGTGCCCTGGGAAATGGGCCCTACATTTTAAAAAACAGTTTTTGTATGCACCGAAAGTGTGCAACACAATGTTTTTGTGCACACAGAGATGTTGGCTACTGCAGCCCAGCAAATGAACATGCCTATCATGTCAGGTTCATATTTGCTTTCTTTGTGTAGCAAAAGTGCCCCAAACCTTCTCCTTATGCCATAGTCCTGAGCCCCGCTTGGCAGTAGGTAGCGGCCGCATGGTGTACAGTGTTCATCCTCTACACTTGCCGTGTTGCTTCCTCAGCCTCATTCTCCGAATTCCTTCTGCAACTCAGTGGCCATTGTCTTCTTTGCAGACTCTGTGCTTGTGACACTACTTTTCTCCAGGATTCATATGTGAGTGAAGTCACACACACTGTCTTGCTCCACCTGGCTCCTTTCAGTCAAGAACCATCCTCCACATGGTCTGCACCTTGGCAGGTCCGGGCATCCTTGTGCGGGGCTGAGTAGTGTCCTGGTGTGCGGGCAGAGTCTCCTCTGTACCCAAGTCCTGCATGGATGCAAGTTGCTCCCCTGCCTTGGTGTTTGTGAGTGATGCTCAGCAGGCCTGGAATGCAGATGTCAGTGAAGTGCTGTGTTCCTCACCTTTGGGCACATGGCTGAAAGTCTCCTCTTCCTATTGGACCCTTTGAATGTCGTATAGACCTGGGCAGTGGCCTGTGGCCACTGTATAGAGCCATTTCCTGCAGGAGGCACAGGTGAAGACAGGCACAGCCTGCCACAGGCTGGAAGATAGCTGGAAGCCAGAGGCTTGTGATTATGGTCAAGCCGGTGGCTCCTTGGGTGACCAGTTTCTGTTGTACAGTCAGGAAACAGGTCGTTCACTTCTGCCCATCCCAGCAGCAGCTGACATAACAGGTGCTATAACACAGCAGGCTCTGGGCTCTGACGAAAAGCGGTGATAAACTGTGCTGGACACTGTGGGGTACTGGCTCTGCCTGCACCCCCATTCCCAACTCATTTCTCCAGTGTCCATCTCCACACAGACAAGGAGAAAGCAAAACACTCACTGTTATTCTCCTCAATAGCCAAGTACGATATTTCTAGCCAAAGAGACACATGCAGAAATTTGTTGAGGAATCTGGGTGAGCTTTGGCTGTGCTTTATTAGCAGTTTAGTGCTCAGACATCACCATTCTTTCTCCTTCAAATATTGAT